TGATTATAAGAATTTTTTTTCTTGCGCAAGAATAAGATCTTACAATTTTTGGACTATTACCAATCAAACTTCTTAATAAATTTTCCAAGCTTCGATTTGCAACCTCGGTCTGTCATCAGTTTGTGGAATATCATAACTGCTAAACTGCAACATTTACCCCAACCGTGTCCACAAGGTACGCCAAAAGTGACTCATGAATTTGACATCCCGATAAGAAGTAAGCGTCTTTGGAATTCCATGTAGCATGAAAATCTCAAAAAAGATATAGACGAGTCAGCTGACATGCATCAGAAGTCTTGGAATAGGGCACAAAATGAGCCACTTACTAAAATCAGTCAACCATCACCATAACTTGATTTACTTCCATGATATTTAGAAATTTCACCATTATATTTCTCTTACATAATTTTCATCTACAACTATAATATATATAGGTTGATATGTGTTTAGCAGAAATACATGATGTAAGAAGAAGATAATAGTAAAATTTCAAAAATAGTAGAAGTGAATCAAGTTAAGGATTAAAGTTTAAGAATATATATATATATATATATATATATATATATATATATATATATATATGTGTGTGTGTGTGTTTGTGTGTATATATATATATATATATATATATATATATATATATATATATATATATATATATATATATATATATAGCTTAGATACTCAAACTCTATAGACTAAGTAGTTTTGTACCATATATATATGTTTGTGTGTGAATATATATATATATATATATATATATATATATATATATATATATATATATATATATATATATATGGGTGAGATCGGTTGACAATTCATAGTTTCCCAAAAACCCGAGAACTAATGGTAGAGTGTTAGCTCAAAATTAACTCATTAAGTGCATGATCGTCATTTTACCGATCTCATATAATATTTATTTTTTTTTATTAGAAATATTAATAAAATGTTCTAAAATTAACATAATCATTCAAATTTCGTGTTTTTTTTAAATAATTTCCGATTTTTTAAAGAAAATGAAGATGTTTTACTTTTTTTTTTTCTATAAAACATGAATTTTTTAAAAAATGAAATTTTTTTTAGAAAAACAGTAATTTTTTCAAAAAAACAAAACTACAATTTTTCCAAGAAAAAAAATCAAATTAAAAAAACTACAACTTTTTCTTTAAAAAAAATTGAATTTAAAAAAAAATGCACCTTTGTTAAGAAAAAACTACATTTTTATTAAAAAGTAAATATTTAAAAATTAGTAAATTAAAAAAACTAGAATATTAAAAAAAAACTATAATTTAAAAAATAAATAAACAAATAACATTGTTTAGGTCCATATATGTATAATTTTTAAAATGCATATATGCATATATGTTATACTATAATATTCGTAAGTAAATCATAAAAAGCTTATTTTTATTAATCAAACTATAAACATAATAATACAATAATTTTATTTGATACAAACTAAAATATAAAAAATAAAAAAATGCTACAAAGATTTACAATGTTGTCTTTCACTTCTTCAATATTTTCCACAAATTCTTCAAAATCTACAATAAAATTTAAAAAATTGATTAATACAAGAACACTCACAAAAATGCATATATATATATATATATATATATATATATATATATATATATATATATATATATATATATATATATATATATATATATATCATGCATAACCACCCCAAAAGCATGATACAGAGACAAGACCAGTGATTGGCTGGCTTAGCGTAAAGCGCGCAGATAAGGACGTAAGTCGCGGTGCCGGACCACAATCATCGTCGGGACGAATCCCCTCTGTTCACCATTATTAAAACAGGTAAGTTTTCTTATAGAATTTTAAAACAAAAAATATGAGTAAATTTTCAGGCATACTATCCAAAAAATATATTCTTGGTAAAAATATCAATAATGAACAAGATAATGATGATAATCAAATAAATTCTATTGAAGAAACCGTTAATAACATAGAACAAAGTTTGAATAATTGGACAATACCTAAAACTAATATTAATACAATATATAAAATAGGAACTTTTGATTACTTTCAAGGTTATTCTATTAAAATGACAGAACAAACTTTGTCTATATATATATATATATATATATATATATATATATATATATATATATCATGTAGAATTCACATGTGATTATATCATGTAAGATTCATATGTGATTATATAATGTGATTGTATATTTTAAGATTCAAATGTGAAATTGACAAGAAAATTTTAAAAAATAATTAACGAAGAACACACACACACAAAAAGCATATGTGCATATAAACGTAATTCATATGTAATTCACTTGTGATTTACATGTGAATCACATGTAATTGATATGTGATTCACTTGTGATATACATGTGAATTAAATGTGATTTACATGCGAATCACATCTGATTCATATGTGAATTACATGTGAATCACATGTAATTCATATGTTATTCACTTGTGATTTACATGTAAATCACATGTGATTCATAAGTGAATTTACATGTGATTTACATATGAATCACATGTAATTCATATGTGAATTACATGTGAAGCACATGTAATTCATATGTGATTCACTTGTAATTTACATGAGAGTCACATGTGATTCATATGTGAATTCCATGTGATTTACATGTGAATAACCTGTAATTCATATGTGAATTACATGTGATTTACATGTGAATCACATGTAATTCATATGTGAATTACATGTGAATCACATATAATTCATATGTGATTTACTTGTGATTTACATGTGAATGATATGTTATTCATATGTGATTCATGTATTCACATGTAATTCATATGTGATTCAGATGTAATTTACATTTAAATGACATGTAATTCATATGTGATTTCATTCTTTCATCAAATTACTCTAATTGGCATCATTTTTTCATAAAGTCTCTTTATTCATCATCATTTTTCTATATAAACTTTTTGATATTATGTAAGAATTATCTGAAATCCAAGAAGTCTACAATTGAAGAAAGCTCTCACAAGTACAACTTAATAGGAACATGAATGGAGAAGTTGGTAAGAACAATTAAAAATCAAATTAAGACAACTTTGATATTGTCATTGAAGTTATGGAAGAATAAGAAGAAGAAATAACACCTCTTGAGCATTGTTTTCAAATAAGGTATGTATCAGCCATACATTTTATAAAACTTTAACAAAAAACCAACATGGTTTTGAGGTAATCTTCCATATATGTTGTTGCAATACATGTAAATAGATACTAATAATATAGCAAATTAACTCATACCAATCATATTTATTTGTAAGCAAGAACCACACCTGTAAAATTAACATGAAGTTGTAGAGTGAAGAGAGCAGCACATCAAAAGTTGTCTATGGGGGACAACAAAACTTGACCGCCTAAATTGTTGTTTTACATGGCCAAATAAACAATCATAGATTACGTAAAACATATTCCTCATTAGAACATATTACTCATCACAAAATAAATGATTGTTGTTAGTAAAACACAATGATCTAATTTCCGTTAGAAGCAAACATAAGATGCACATATTTCCCCCAAAATCGTAACTAATTAGCAAAATTTTAATGAGAAATCAAAGTTTCATGACATAGGCTCATAGAACAACCTCACACCTCATCCGCTATTTTTCAAAACAAGTGTTGGGGGGGGGGGGAGGGAGGCCTTATTGTGAAATGATTTATGGTAATTGCATGTGAATAAACATAATATATATTAGTTACATGGATTCCTGAAGAACGCTTTCAACATGTAATGACTAAAAACATTAACTAACTGATTTTGAAAGGCGAATCGAAGTTCCGATTTCAACATCTCAAGGCAGCAACTGAGGCGGAGAATCCAATAGTTGGTGAATCAACACCGACAATGAAGGATAGATCGCAGATACATCCTATTTACGAGTAAAGAAGATGAAACATGGATCGATTAGAGCTAAAAGAGTGGAGTGAAAGTTGAAGATCATATTAACTAGATCTAGCGAATAAATCTTCAATTAACAAAAATGAAATTTTGGTGCTCGGCATATATCATCAATTCTTCTGGAAAAAAACAGCGACATATTCATAATCAGTTTTGGATGCTAACGAAGGAGCAAGTTGCGATGGCTATGAAGATGTGTGTATGAGAGATAGATAGAGAGAAAGAGAGAGAGAAAGAGAGAGAAAGAGAGAAAGAGATAGAGGGAGGGAGAGAGAGACATGAGGAATAATGAGACATGATAGTTTATTAAATTAATTAATTTAATAAACATTGGGTAATGAGACAGGATACCACTGAAATTGATGATAATTACAAAAATGCCATTTTTGATCTAGGCTATTAAAAATTTTGATCCAACGCTCTACTTTTAGTTCTTGGGTTTTCGGGAAACTTTGAGTTCCAAGATGATCCTCCCCCCCCCCCCCTCTCTCTCTCTCCATATATGTGTGTGTGTATATATATATATATACCTAACAACCTTATGTAAGTTTAAGTACCTAACTCTTAAAATTATGTTAGTTTAATTTCATTGTTTTGATTCAGATTAAAACTTCCACTTAGTTATTTGGAGCATATCTTCCCAATATTTGATTTCCTAATTCATTTCTCATTTATCTAATTAGCAACTTAAAACTAATCTGTAACTTCATAGACTAAAATAAATCCATTCTTAATAAAAGAGTACTTTGCAGGACACGTGTCCTTCTTTTTCACCTCCAACTTGCCACACATCTTTACCAGGGATCTCTTATGCATCATATTCCCACACATCCTTTACTGTAAAAATCGATAAACCAGCTCACATAGTTTCAATTACATGCATATAAAAATTGATATGAGTCCTATATTTATGGTCAATTTATGGTCAATCCTATATTTTTGATTATTTGTTTTACAACATATATTTTGCAATTAAAAAAATAAGAATCGATATTATCATATCCTGTAAATCAGGGATCAAATTAATCCAAATCTTTGACTACAATTTCGTTTTTTTCTGTCAGGTATTTGTAAATCAAATCCATAAAAATCAACTCCTCTACAGATTTTCAAATTTGAAACAATTGTCGACTAATAAAATCCATAAAAATCAGGAATAAAATCTGCAAAGTAAAATACTTTTATGCATTTAATAAAATTATTGTGCTTCATTACTCTCTGCATATTTATGTTAACCCATTAAATTGCACATAATCTTCTACTGCTTTGCCCTCAATTTTGAGTTTCTTATCTGCTCTGCTCTACCGATTTGCAAAAGGTTAGTAAAACAGTCTTTTCAATTTTTTTTCTCTTAACATCAAACTGCACATCTATTTCTGTAATTTCAATCATTATTTTTCTCTTTTTTTCCTGTCTTTGGGTTTAGAATGTATTTTGTTTCTTTGCATTTGTTTCTTGAACATATGTATTTGTATTCTGGTTTGAAGTCTGATACTTTTATCACAACTCATAATATGTTTGATATTATGTTTACATCAGTTAATTGACTTTCATTCTTGCTATGTTTGCACCAAATGAAGGAACGATTTTAAAAGAAGTTATTTTTTATTATATGCTTACACAATATGTTTTAATAATTTGATTCTACATTTCATTCTATGTTTACAAAAATAAAAATAAGTCATAATTATTAAAATTCTAATAAACCCCTGCATTGCTTTCACTGTTTCACATGACAATTGGTATCTACTGTAATGCTATAAGAAAACCATGATAACTATGCATCTTTATGTGTGGATAAACGAAATGGTGTTTTTTACTTGAACATTTCCATGGTAACTTTTATTCAACAATAGATTGTATAACAGGAGTATATTTAATTTTTGTCTTTTTTTTATAAACTGTATAACCATACTAAAAGAGTATGGTTATTCAGCAACAAATTGTATAACAAAACTACAAGAGTATGGTTATAGATTTTACTTGATCTGTATATTCATTATTTTGATTTTAATTTCATTACTTTATTTACTGCATTTTGATTTCATGTCATTTTACATTAGGTTATGGGCTTGGTTGTTCTTTGATAATTAGGTCAACTTATTTTACATTGCTTTTTCGATCTGTGTCATGTTATATATGTTGTTTTTTCTTTGCAAATCGATGACACAGCCAAATGTTACTTTGATTTCGGATTTGGATATACTTAAAGATGTTTTGACTATCAAAGTTAGAGTGATAAACCTATAGAACCTTTTTTATTCGATAACAAGGATGAACTTTTCTCGATTGAATTAATCTTAATAGATGAACAACTATTTTACAACTTAACATTATATTTTCATTACACATTCAAAATTCTATATGATTTGATTATAATTTTATATATTATACTTCATTTAGGGTACCAAGATCTAAGCAAATGGATTAAGAAAAAATATCTATCAATTTAAAAACATTCTAAAAGATGGCCTCACATTTTACATAAAATGTCCAAGCTTTGCATCTCAAAGAATGGGTGGTTTTACTTTAACTCGACATGATCATAAACTTACTTTTTGTCCATAACACTGTTCTTACAGAGTGTAATGACTTTTCTGGACCTACATTTGGTTTTGAATTTTTTATTACCAGTCTATTATCTCATTGGCCCATCCTGAAAACACCGTTATCAGTTAGTTGGATTTTATTATAGATTAATTATGGTCAATTCTACGGTTTGAATAGAATATCATATTTTTAAATTCATAAATAAATTCAATTCATCTTTTTGGTTGTTCATAGATATTATTGGATTGGTCGTTGCAATTGGTGAGATAGGGCGAGACAATGATGATATGAAAAAACACAGACTTAACATCCAAATCCAAGATGCAATGTTTGTTATTTTATATATATATATATATATATATATATATATATATATATATATATATATATATATATATATATATATATATATATATATATATGGATATTAGATTATCTAATTATAATTTCATTTAATTTAAAACTTTTATTTGGTAGTGGTTTGCAACTAAGTGTTAATTTGTGGGGTGATTTTTCTTAAAAAATGCAAGGGTTTATTGATAACAATCCACACAATCTTTGTATCATTGTTATCCTTCAATTTGCGAAACTTTGTATTTGGAGAGGTATACTATATGATTTTGTTATTAAATATTTTTTTATCATTAAATTAACACTTCTTAAAATCTTTTTTATAGATCGTCCCACAGTTAACACTCACTTTTCGGTGTCAAAGATGTTCATTAACACGGACATTGATGAAATCAATGTTTTTAAGAAAATGTAATTTATGTTATATCATTCTAATTTCTCCAATTAACTTTTATGTCACTAATATTAGTTATATGTGATTAATATTAGTTATTTATGTTATTTCATTCTAATTTCTACATTTATCTTTTATGTGATTAATATTTTTTTATTTCATTAAAATATCTACAATTAACTTCTATGTGACTAATATTAGTTAATTTTTTATAACAAACAGTTTGGCTGGAGTTGATCACCCTGATTCATCCACAAATACATTCACACTTATGAAGTCTAATAAAGTTTCTGAACATGATGATTTCATGGTTAAGTTTCAGCTGAACACAGTTGTTGATGTTTCTGAACCCGTGGAGGTGTAGTTATTATATATTTTATAATTTTTGTAAACCTACTTTTTTGTTATGTATATTGAATAATCAAAATAAAATTAATATGTAGAAAAATACTTTCATTATCGTGGGCACCATAAAGGGAATTTTATAAAATGAACCATGTCATTATTTGGCATGTACAAATTGCAACTACAAAGCAATTCGGCCTCCTGGTGCAGATAATAACCTGATGATGTTGAAGGATTCACTGGTTATAAATGTCATAATTAGGATTGCACAAAAACCGAAACTACAGTTATTCCGAAGTTATTAATTTCCTCCTGAATCATTAAAACATATATTATATTTTATATTGTAATAAATATATATTGGATTTTCCTTTTTTATAGATTTTATGATTCCGATGCGTGTGCAAGACAATACAAGTACTCTTACCTTAACCATGTTTGAAAGAGATGAAAAATATCTTTGAAGAAATAAGCCCAAAATCTCTTTAAAAACACAGTCAAGGTCGTGTTCCTTAATTAAAATTAAATGATACATTTACTTAATATATTTAGTTTGACTAAATTTTTTTTACTTCTTTTTATTGTAGCTTGGTTTTAGTACTCACTTGTATCCCGGAGAGATAAATGCACTAAAATGTTTAAATTTGGCATTTAAAATATCAATTAATCTCTTCAATGTCTCAAAAAAGAACAACCAATACGATATATGTAGAGTCAGTGATGATGAATAGTTGATTGAAGAACTAGAAAACAAGTTTACTGTTTCACAGGTCATTAATTAATTAATTAATTAATTATTATTATTATTATTATTATTATTATTATTATTATAATAATAATAATAATAATAATAATTATTATTATTTTATTAACAATTTTAAATATTATTATTATTATTATTATTATTATTATTATTATTTTATTTATTAATATTATATATGTTCATATTTTTCATTATTTATTATGCAGGTAGGTAATTCACAATCATTTGATATTGGTGAAGCTGATTCTGAATCACAAGATAATAAGATTTTGAAGGTTATATACAAGTTATAATAGTTAAGAATTATGTTATAAATATCGGTTCAGATTATAAGTTAATTAAGTACAATTATTTTTTTGTTTAGGATGCAATTTCTGGGACAGGCGACAACATAACACCTTCCACAATTGATAAAAACTCAGCAACAAGTCCCATGAAGGGTTTGAATACACCAACTGTTTTGAAGAGAAATATGTAAGAAGTGTTTGATTTGGAGTTAAATGAAAAGTTATCATTATCAAAAACTCCTAAAATATCACCAGAAGGACGCATTAATAAGATTGTGAAGGTAAAGTTGGAAAAAAGTGGCTGACCTTTTATTTTAAGTTTAAGTTTCGTTAGGATTTTTATGATTTTTAAACAATGATTATGCATTTTATTTTTCATTAAGTACTTTAACGTTTTGTTTTAGAATTTTCAAACATTTGCTGGGGATGATTGTTTTTTTAATAGTATGTTTAACCTATATTCATAATATATTATTATGAATGTGAATTTATGATTTAGAAATAATTTTGTTATTTAATTTACTTATGATCTTGGAATAAGGTCCAAATTTGTCGTTTCGTGTATGTTTATAATGGTTATTTCCTTTCGAATAAATTTCATAGGCTTCTACCATCATGTATGTATTTACAATATTTATCGTTACAAAATATAAAAATACTACAACAACATCCATCTAACTAAACATTAATTTTATTAAATATAACATTTCACATATTTCTAAATAACTTCACAGTTTGGAAACTATGCCTTTGTTGTACATTTTGATTTTTTAGTTAACATACACCACATTTATTTTTTAATTTTCAATCATATTGCATTTGTCTTTGAATGTGGGTGTTTCAGATTCCTATTCTAAAGAAGGCCACTGCATTATTATTTAAAAATATTTAATATAAAAAAATATATTGATTTAATAGGTTTTTAGACTGAAAACACATAATTTTAAACTTGCCAGTCTGTGACTATGATTGTGCTTCAGAATGAGGCTGAGTGAAGATCTTAATTCCAGTTGATTACATGTTGTTTATTCATTGATATTTCCAGCCTTGCAGTAGGAAGATAATAACACAATTCACATTTCACAAATCAAATATTTACAAAAACAAATACAAATACAAAAAATTTCAATCATATTATTATTACCTAAAGTAAAACCCTGAAAGACTGAGGTTTTGTTAGCTGATCACATTTCAAGAATGCAACCCTTAGCTTTAGATTGTTCCATATCTAAAGAAAACAATAAATCATTATTTTTGGTAGATAAGTAATATATTGCTACCTATAACACATTTCAAAACACAATGCTTATTTTGGGGCCAATGATTCCTCTGGGAGTTAGAGAAACAATTTTTGATTTAATAGTTTGAGATCAAAATTAAAATATATTGCTATAAAAGTGTAAACAACAATTTTGATAGTACGATGTTAGAATAGGAATAAATAAAGGTATGATACTTTAAAAAACTAATCAATAGAAGTGCATTACCATTTTTGGCCAATTATCATTTGTCTAGGCTACACATACCACCTAGCTGCGATCTTTTTATGAAGTATTGGATATTAACAGATTCCATTCATTCTAAATATTATGCAAATCTAATGGCCCTTTAGGGTTTCTATATTCAATGAATATGTGTTTGAAACAAATAATTGAATTTAACATATAAATTAATTGTAGAGATTGTTATGTTTTAGGCAAGAAAACTAATGATCAACAAGTCTAATCCAATCTAATTTAACCGCTCTAAATGCAATAAATTTTTTACATCTAATGTTTTCTTATTACATCATTTTACATTGAAAAATCAATCCACTTTTAGCAATAAAAATTCCTTTCTATTTGAATGGCTTTGCTACAATTGCATAGATTGTTTAAAGTAAGATGCCCTAATAAGCAATATCTAATTTTAATGCTATAAGTGATTATATTTTAAAAGTACGTCATTTAAGAAGAAAAATTAAAAGTAAAATACTCTACCAGAAAAAAATGACAATAAGATGCTATCATAATCAAATAAATAAAAGTAACATTGTTATTTTTCATTTTAACCCTTCTGCATAAACTCCTAAATAAACATATATGCATGCACTTATACAAGTGGGGGAGGGATAAACTTTCGTTTCCCTTGGCTATGGTATATTGCAATCTAATATAACTTATATTGATTTCTACAATTGGTCACATACCATTTTGTTTTGTTTTGGCCTGCAAGATAATGAAGCAGTAGTAAAAACTAAGCGATCGTGATTAAATAGGGATTAAAGGTATGCAAAAAGATAAAGTTTGATTAAAAATGAACAATTATTTAAACTAATATAAGTAGCTTGAAACAAAGTGACCCACCGACATATCGATTGTTGATTACAACTGAAATATATTGATCAGATATGGATCATCTGTATTATACATAAAATTGAGAACTTACTATACAAATATACAAGTCTCATATAATTAGAAGGTATATCAAATAAAGTAAATGTTTTATTTACTCATATGATCCCTGAATAATCATGAACGAGATTTTGTCAAAAATTTAGCAAATTTAAAATTCAAATGTTTAAACAAATACTCAATTTTCAAAAATCAAACCAAAACCACTTCCACCTTGTTGTGTTTCCGCTTTTAACGAATGTGAGGGCATTCTTTTGAATGACTTGAGTTTTCTCTTATATCTTTAGATACAACATTTCTAGAACAAAGAAAAACAGGTAAAATTTCTTCGACATAATCTATTTTCTGTTAAAAAAGACTAAGATTAACCATCAATTCATCATCTCTTACCTTGAATCTTGCTTTCTTCAAACCCCAAATTTGCGTTCATTCAATCTCTAAGTTCAACATCGGGTATTACTCAATGTAAGCTTTTCTTCACTTCACATTTCTAATTGGTTGTGAATTAGTATCTTCCTTCATCCATATACATGGATAATGTTGACACCCTTTCAGAAATCGAATGGTAGCTGTGGAACTGTGTATGTAATCGAAATTCTAGGACTGAGTTTCTTGTTTGATCGTTTGTGTTACACACAAAAGGGGAAGGGGAATGTTTGGGGAATAGTGATAATTTTTAGCTTTAGGTGGGTTTTTCTTATAAATTAAAAATTATGAATAATCATTAAAATTATTAAAATGAAATTTATTTAATTTCTCATGCATTATCAAAATCGAGCATGAACAATGATAAAAATATGTTATCACTTTCTCTAATATAAAAATAAAAGAACTTTTATGATCAAGAAATATATTATGTTTTTCCAATTATATTACCATATAACATAATTTTCGCATTATGATTTATAACTATCTTTTGTTTGTTATTTTATTATTATTCAATTTCTTAATTGAAGTTTATACGGATTACATAAGTTATCAATCATCTGTAATAGTTATTTTCATGTTATTAATTTTTTTAAGTTAACTTTATTATTTTTATTATTTTTAATATATATCAAAGAATAATATGGACCTCACATACGCTAGAAAAAGAAGAAAAAAGAGAAAGTTAAAATATAAGAAAAACTATACCGTGTAATCATCTCAAGGTATATCTATTGCACATGCTATTCATTTTAGCCAATACAGTAAGTTTTTGTACATTGTATTACATATTTAATATATTTTATTTATTTATAATCTATTATTCATAAGTATTTTAAAAATAAATAAAATTTTATAAAATATAATATATTTAATTTTATATAAAAAAAATCCTTAAATTATTTACTATTATTTTACAGTTTCAATTAACACTACAACTTTTACAAACGCTAAAGAGAAGAGAAAAATTAAAAAGTTATATTTGGATAATAAAAAATCCAAAGTAAATTCTAGCACATCTAGCCATCAAAAATCATCTATTACACATGTTTTTTACATGTCAATTATCAATATTGTTATTCGTTTATTTTATAATTATTTTTTAACTATATAAATTATATCAAATTGCTATATTCTTAAATTTAATTTTTTTTTAATAATTAATGTTATTTGTTTTATTACTAACAATATTTCCTTTTTCATTACATAACAGATGTCTACAATCATCATTGTCATTTAGTATCTATAGATAACTACATAAATATTACTTAAGATAAGGAAAATCTAAACTCGATCAAATCATTTGTATATCAACATACAACTATTCATTCTCCTTCTACACATATAAATGTTAGAACTCCCTTATATAACATTTTAAATGGTATGCATTTCTTTATAGACAGATTCTAAATTATGTGTTTTGCATTTATATAATTTATACAATTTCCTAACGTTATAATTTTTATTTTTATTTTCTCAGTAAATTATATTTTTGATAATAACATTCAAACAATGCTATTTATTAAAAATGATAATTCATTATTTGATATTGGCATGACATCCACCGGTCGTTCAACCATCATTTAAAAGTTTTCATCAATAAAGTTACCAAAAGGAAAACATCAATTAAAAAGGAAGACTACATATATATATATATGGGTAAAGTGAATATACCTAACAACCTTATATAAGCTTAGGTACCTAACCGCATCATACTACGTAATTTTGTATCATGTTTGCATTGTAATCACCCAAAGTTCTTAAAATTCAACCTCATAACTTGATTGCTTCCAAAATCTTTGGACTTTCACCATTATCTTATTTCAAATGACGTCATTCTATCGCAGACCCCCTGGTGGGCTTCATATACTACCGTTACAAATCAAATGGTGTAGGAAGAATATAATGATGAATATTTGAAAATCTTGGAAGCAAATCAAGTTAAGGGTTGAAGTTTAAGAATCTTAGATGATTATAATGGAATTATAATGCAAAACAATGTAGTATAATGTGGTTAGGTACCTAAGCTTATATAAGGTTGTTAGGTATATTCACTTTACCCTATATATATATATATATATATATATATATATATATATATATATATATATATATATATATATATATATATATATATATATGTTATACATATGTTTGACTTGACATTATATGAAGAAATTAGTGATTAACATATTATTGTAGTTATTTTTCACGACACTTCAAAAGGTGTTCGTAATATAGAAAATTTAATATTTTTAATTACATTCATTATTTTTAATTTATTTATGGGATTCAATAGATTACATGGATCATGGAGACTAGATTTTTATATGTCAAATTTGTCATGCAAAACTATGGAAAGACGAATCGTTTAGAGGCATAAAAAGCGGGACTACATCTTATTTGTTATGTTGTGGTTACGGAAAAGTTGAACTACGACCTTTAATCATCTTACAAAAATCTTTACCATTCCGTAGATTCTAAAAACAAACACTTCATGAAGAACATTCGACGTTACAATTCAATGTTTTCATTTGCATCCATGTGAGGCAAAGTTTATTCATCCATCAACACATGCAACACACCATACATATTTAGACTTAGGTGTGAAATTTTTCATAGTATGGAAAGTCTTCTACCTACAGGTGTATCTAGACCAAAATTTTGTCAGTTATACATATATGAT